TGTTACAAAGGCTCGAGCTGGTGAATCACAACAGAATGATCGAATTTAAAATTTTTTTCTAATACTAATCTGTAGACCATTTTCTTTTAAAAAAACTACTTCTTCGCAAAATTCTTTTAAAAAATCATTGCTATTCCAAGGTTTTCCCATTCCAGAAAAACATGCAATAGTAAAGGGTATTTCGTTTGGAAAATCAACTACTGCTCCTAAAATTGGCCATAATACCCTATTCGAGTTTTTATATAATTTAAGGCCATCTATTCCTATATCAAGCGCCACAACGTCTCTGTTTTCAAGGAAAGGAAACGAGTTTTTCTTGAAATGATTTTGTATCCCGCGATACAGAAATTCTCCACTTGGAATTTTTTGAATATGCACCTTTTTTCTGCTTGTACCCAAAAGATTTTTTGCCAATAAAGGTAAATCAGTGTATCCTATTTTCCGCAATGTTTGAAGTAAATCGGTGACTGTGTTGTGCGAGACCCTATTTCTCAAAACCCATGCTTTTATTTCCAGCACTTTTCTAGCATTTTTGGGTTCTACCGTATTTATATCTTCACTTTCACTACTATCACCAGACATAGATAAGGAATCGAGCGAGCAGGCTGAACTGGTCAATTCCTCAGCACTAAGATCACATGACGAATCGCGTAAGCAGGCTGAACTGCTCAATCCCTCAGCACTATGACCTCATTGCGTCTTCACAAACAAATCGTCAATTTTTGCATATTTTGCCGCACTTATATTAAAGGCCTTTTTTTTGCGGCTCATGTATCAGAAAATGTACTTCTTTTCATTTTTATAAATTTAGCTTACCCTTTGTTCAATGTGGTTTAAATATTTGTTTGAAATAAATGAATATAAACAATAGGTGTGTACTCGTATTGAGAGGACAAAATTCTCCAGCAGCAAAAGTTCTGAGAATTTAGCAGCATTCGCTCTCAAAGAGACGAAATATCAACAAAAGTACGAGAACGCAAAATTTGCAAAAACTTGCAACCTTCGAAACAGCTGATCACAGTTGCCACTGGTGATTAATTTGGCAATTTATTTTCTGCTTGGTGTATTTTCCTCCGATTAGGTATTTTATACATTTGAATAGTTTTGGATAAGAAAAACCTTTTTAAAATACGATTTAATTATATCGGAATGAATAAGTTATTTTTCTCATAATTATTTGTGATATCACATGGTGACGCATTAAAAACAATAGTATCTCCTCCAAACACCCATCATTGAACCAATAAAATGTAATATAGTAGGTTTAAAATTATAAAATTTTCATTTCAACAATCAACCCACCAAAACCGAAAACTTCAGCAAAACAACATTTCAGCATGCTGCATTTAAATCTATTTTGGTATATTTTAAGGTAAATTATGGTACAAACGAAAAATGTCATACGGCAACCATAGTCAGCACATACTAAAGTAAACAAACTGGAGATTAATAGCAAATTAACGAAAAATATACTCAATGAATGTTGTGCTTATTAAATTTACGCACTTTTTAGTTGTATACTAGCATTAAAAATAAAAATTGCAATAATAACTCAAAAAGGCCATATTTTCTTTTGTTTATTTACAAACATGTGTTTGTGATCAGCTGATTTTCTTACTTGCAAGTTTTAGCTGGGAAAAATTATTCCAGCAGAAATTTGCAGCTCTCTTTCACATTTTGCTCTCTCAATTTCCCCTACTTTGCAAGTTTTTTGGGTACGAGAACGCAAAACCAGTAAAAGTTTTCTAAAACTTTAGATAGTTGGGCGTACGAGTACACACCTAATTTAAAGCTTTACAGAACACGCGCTCAAAGAATTCAAAATTTTTCACAGCGAATAAGCGTTTTGAAGTTTGGCACCCAGGCGACTTTGCTTTTCTTTTAAAATTTTGTTTTGATTGCCAAACAAATCAATTAGTTTGACTGGTTGCTCATATGTGAAAAAATTAGCGTGACTACTTACTCATATGTGAAAGATAGCTAGCAGAAAAAAACAATAAATGGAAATCCGTTGAAAAATTATTACAGTTGTATTATTAACACCATAAAATTTGAGTTTGTGTTGGAGTTTCGGTCACGCTGGTTTTGCTGGGACGTTTGAATGAATTTGCTTTCGCTTTGTTACGCTCTCGCATGTATTTGCATGTGATGCTTACGCTCTTTAAGCAGGCGCTCACTCTCTGTCCATGCTTGTATATGAGCAAATTTGACATCGATATCACGATCCAGAATATAAAGGTCGCGCCATTCGCGGACCGCTAACCCTCTCTTCCTCGATTTGACAGCATCCACCTAATCGCTGACGTCATAAAATACTTTTGTTTACATTCCCTGTTGCCAACTTCATGCTTTTCGCACCAAATTTAGTGGGTATTCAAAACGCGAAAATTTTTGAGTTTGGTGCTTGGCGCGTTTTTGGTGCTTTTGTTTTTAGTTTGAAGACACCAAATTAGAAAATCTTAAAAAAAATGGAAGCAAAATTCATAGCAATCGTAAGTGTGGTAAGCAACTTTACAAAAATTTAAACAAAATCATGGCACAGTGACAATCATAAGCGACAACAAAATATGTGACGGTACCTTCAATCATGCCAGAAGAAATCAACCGTCGTGCAAGAAACATTGATTTTTATTAATTTGAATCGGCATCCTTACAATAAAATTATGTATGCATATAAAGTCTATAAAATACACCAATAAAAATTTGGTGCTTTTTCAAATTCAAAATTTGGCAATACTCCTCTTTTTCTTGTCGAGTTCGTCTTGCTCGCTCATTCTGGTATTTATTGACGTCACGGCCAGTTGCTCTCAGTTCGATTGGCGCAATCTTGTATTCTATCAAGAGTATTACCGCAGCCGTACTGCGATGAACATGATGTTGGTGGGATATAAATAATTTTTTCGCAACTTTTCATACCCCTCCTCCCGTAAACTGTTTTTCCCTTTCTCCAGCCCGCGCTCGCACTTTCGCTACTGCGTGGGCAAAAAAGTTCCCATGTCTGGTTTAAAGGAAGCTTTTCTTTTTCCAATCTGGCTTTTGAGGGTTAGGTTATTGTTGTTGTAACTTCTCTATAGTTTTCATACATTACCCTGCCAGCCACGGCTCACCACTTTCCCCTGAAAATCAAACGATTTACAAACACATTCACAACTTTTTGATCATCTCACCCACACACTTACAAATTTTTTGTTCGAACTGTCAAAAAAATGTCCCTTTGTTAGAGCTACATACCCGATAAGAATTCGTACTCTAATAAGAATTCTATGCGTTAGAGCGAGCAAGTTAGAAACATCGGAGTTTTGATGACAGTATACATACTGTGAAGAAATGTCACTTTGCGGAAATTTTGAAGGTAAGGATACGTATTTAACAATTTTATTTAATTATAATGTAATTTCTTCTTTTAGACTGCAAAACACCAGCGACTTTAGTCACATTCTTAAGGTATGTATTGAGACTTTTTATATGTTTATAAAATTGAATTGATATTTTTGTTTGTTTACAGTTTTGGGATTCACCATCAGCACCTTCAACGCTTGCATCTTCATCGCCAGGAGCACCATTAAAACCTTCTGCCCTCAGCTTCTTCATCGCCAGGAGCACCACCAGTACCTTCTATCCTCAGCTCCTTCATCGCCAGGAGCACCATGGGTACCTTCCGCCCTCAGCACCTTCAACGCCAGGAGCACCTTCAAAGTGTAGGTCCAACTTGTCAAATTTTGTAAGGTTGCAAGAAAACTTAATTTTTCTGAACCACCCTAAATGATTTGCAACTCTTAATATATATCAAAATAAAGGTTAACCGTTTACCTTTCTTTTGATTATAACACCGTTAAAATCGCTTTACGTTTTCATAAAAACTTTGCAACTTTTGTAAACAGCTATATATAAGCAGTGAAAAAGTGGTAAAATTTTGCAATGTTGTAACGAAATTGAATTTTTGTGCACCATTACAAATGATTTGCAACTGTTTATATATATTTAAAGAAAGGTAAATCGATTACCTTTCTTTTGATTATAATATTGTTAAAATCGGTTGACTATTTTATAGAAATTTTGCACCTTTTGAAAACATGTATATATAAGAAGTGAAAAAGTGGTAAAAGTTTGCAAAGTTGTAACGAAACTGAATTTTTGTGCACCATTACAAATGATTTGCATCTGTTAATATATATTAAAAGAAAGGTAAATCGATTACTTTTCTTTTGATTATAATACTGTTAAAATCGGTTAGCTATTTTATAGAAATTTTGCAACTTTTGAAAACATTATATGTAAGAAGTGAAAAAGTTGTCACAGTTTGCAAAGTTCTAACAAAACTAAATTTTTGTGAACCAGTACAAATGATTTTCAACTGTCAATATATATTAAAAGAAAGGTAAATCGATTACCTTTCTTTTGATTATAATACTGTTAAAATCGCTTAACTTTTTATTGAAATTTTGCAACTTTTTAAAACAGCTATATGCAAAGGAGTAGTAGTAATAATAAGCAATTCAGGAACTACATATGTGTGTAAAAATATCTTTATTATTAATATTAATTGTAATTTGTATTCATAATATTGATTACTAGCTATTTATATTAGGTTAACAATGTATTTTGAAAAATAAATTTTGCAAAATAAAAATCAAAAAATATTTTAAGATTTTTTTTTTTAAGTTTTTAAGGTTATTTTGAATTCGCTGTGAAGAGAATGCAACCCTGCGCCAGCTGAAGTGGGCAATGCTAGACGAGTGCAGCTATATGTTTTCCTTACGAAGTATCTGAATGAGTGCGACAGTGATACAAGGCTCACACGTACAGGGGGAAAGTGGTGACAATCTGCACACCGCCCATACAAATGTCACCAGTTTTGAAGTGACCGAAACCTGCGGTTTCACCAGATTTTTCACCACTTTTGGCTGGCAGGGTATATGATCATTTATCTTCACGATAAAAAAAATTTTCATCCCATTATTTCTTTTCCACCCGAAGATCTACGATTTTTAAATAAAAACTTGTGTTTTGCCTATAGTGCCGCACTCTAAACTTTATCGATAAAACGCCGCGAGCCGATTACGTGTTTACGAATTCGGCTAATCTCAATGCCCCAGAGCTCCTCGGGGCTATTTAGGATGTGAGCGCCAAAGTACTTCAACCTTAGCGTTGCAAACGCTGGGCACCTAAGAAGGTATTGTTGAGCACAGTATACCAGTAGAAAAGGTTTTTGTTTTTGTAGCTGTTTCGTGGTGAAAGTCCTTTATGGGGACCAAATTTCCCCACAAGAAATTGAGCGCATGGTTGCTTTTGCGTCCCAAAAGAATGAATATTAGAAAACAATTAAAAAAAAGTCTAAGGTAATACAATTATATGCAACTAAAAATAATCACAATAATTTGCACTTATGAGTTAATGTGATAATCATGTGTAAAAACTCTTTTCAACTATTATTTTTCACAAAATAATTTGGCGGATCAGTTTGCTCTGAGCGCTTGTGTTGTTTACCAAGAAAATGCAGCCCTGTTGGTTTTTATTTCTGTATCGCATCGCGGTGAGTTTCTATTTCTTGGTAATTCGGTTTGTGAAATGGTAAACAAATTATTGAAATTTATTTATTTGACGTGTATAAGATTTCATTAATGCAATTTTTTGTATTTTCAGACTATTAATTACAAGCACTGCATCATCAACGGTGATTGCAAGAACTACTGCAATCCCTGCGGTTTTTCCTCTTGGTAAATGCGTTCAGGTCGTGATCAAGGGTGGTCTCCCAAATCGGCCGGGAATAAGGTTAGTCATTTTAAATTTTATATCTTTGTTCGTCGACATTATATGACATGTCATCATTGCAGGCTATTGTTGTAGAACAAAACGCCGCAACCACTGCTGTGGTAAATATGTTCCAGCAGAACTGCCCACCGCCGTCGGTGTAATGATTTCGATAGCTGAACAAACGCCATCTCCTGGGCATTCCCACAGCTTGCCGACACTAGCTATTGTATCACGTGTGAATGCAACTGCGGCTTGATTTGGTTATTAACAGTGCAGTCGTACCATGTCATTGGCAAAAACACTAAGGGCTGCTGCCACATATAGGTTGTAAAGTTTTTGGTATCGATGAACATACTCGAAGAAGACGATGGCCGAAAACATATGATGAAACATCTTCTGGCATGCCTTTGACAATCGTTAAGTCAGACGAAGGCTTCACATACGATATTTCACACATGGCTGGAATTCGTTAGCGGACAGAGCACACATTTACAAAATATTTATCGTTCAGCAGAACGTGCATGCATATTCGATTCCGATTTTATGGGTCAACTACGGAGGACAACCGAACTTCAGTTGGTTGGCCAGTGGCTGAAATGGTATTACCGATGGCAACTAGCAACTGAAAGCTGGCAACTAAGTTGCTATATTGGCAAGTGCGTTTTTGTGGCTGCCGGGAATTTTTGATTGAGATACTTTATTTCTTTTTTCAACTTTTTTTTAAATTGTACCACCTTGAACTTTATGAAACTTAATTATTGCTATTCATGATAAAAAACATTTTCATTTCAGTGGCGCTGTCCATCGGCAACCCAACTGAGGTTCCGTCCCCATCCATAATCGATCCATAAGTCATAATCGCACGAACTAATCAAGGCTATCATAGAATCCATCGTAGTCTGATTTTTCGTGAAATCTACGAAAATGCTATTAAGTTCGAGTAGCTACGAACGCAGCGCTTGCTTTGAATACACGCAGCAGTTCAGATTCAGTGATCGCTTTTTCGTAGATTTTAAGAAAAATTGTACTACGATGGATTCCGTCACCAATATGTTTTCTCCTTTGACAAGATGTTTGAGAATCGCGGCAGCACAGCCCTATTCCTACTCTATGCTCTTACGCGCATATGCTCAATTTCTCGCACCTAGCTTAAGTGCTTGACAAAGGCAGAAGGCATATCTTCAACATTATAACTTAAAGTAAAAAAGTTTAAGGCATGCAATAAAAGAATCGACAGAACCAAAAAATGTTCTCAAAACTATTAAACATAAAAAATTACACGAATAAAACTCATAAATTAAAATAAAATATTGCAATTGTTTTTTATATGTACATACATATTTACAAAATGAATCTTAAAGCACCCACAGTAAGTCCTAAACATATACATGACTAATAAGAAAAATAATAAATAACAGTAATATGAAAAAGTATGTCGAGAAATCTCTAAATAGTAGCGAAACTGTATCTCAATAATAACAGATAATTTTAAGCAAAAAATACAACCGACTTCAATGCGCATTCAGGTCGTTCTGATTACGTAGATCCGACTGTCTTCCCTTTTTTTAAATCGGTAAAAAAAAATTATTACGTATTCTACAGAAAAAAATCAAGATACATATTTAAGGATTTTAAGTAAAAATAAATAAAGGAAAACTTGTTCGTGATATCTTGACCAAGGTGTATTCATGGTACAAAAATCTGAAGGTAAAACCTTTGAAAGGCAGCCTGAACATTTTTAAAGTTTGCTAACATTACAAAAATGTTTTCAAATTTCCAATCTCACAAAACATTCTCATTATCAGTCTCAAATAAATGAAAATTTCAATATTTTCATCTATTTGTTTTTTGTTTTACCTTTAATTGGCATTTGAGTTGCTCTCAAAATTTCAATTTTATAAAATAGACAAACTACAAAAAGTAAATGATGGCCGACGAATTGTGCGGTTTTACCTTTAAATATTTGTATCATGGGTGTATTAAACAAGGGGACGTACTCATAAAACCCAAGCAAATGCTTTTTCTTAAAATTTCAGACCTTTCACTAAATTTTTTCAAATAAATTTAAGTGAAAGGTATGAAAATCTAAGAAAAAGTAATTGCTTAGTTTTTATGCATACGGCCCAAGGTGTTATTGACAACTCAGAGCGGCTCTCTTTTAAGATACTATTATGTAAAAAAATATAAACAAACGATTCAAAATTCGTTCAAATTTTTTTCAATTTGACTTTATAGGATGGTTCTTCTGAGAGCAATGTCAAATTCAATCACACTTTGTTAAATACATTTTGATCTCTACCAAATAATGTACTTCCTCTGTAAATATTTTATGAAGTGTTCCAAAATTCGCTCCGAGCGCGCTCACTGTTGATCATTTGATTTAAATAGTTTGTCAAATAATTAATACTATAGTTTGATCGGAGTTAATATATTCTTCAGTAAATAATTATATTATATTAAAACATAAGCTTATGAGAAACTATTTAGTCTTAACATGCATATTTTATATCGTGTTCCAAAATTCGCTCCGAGTGCGTTCACTGTTGATCTTTTGATTCAAATATTGTTCGTAAAGCATTCAGTAGTGAAGTTTGATCGGAGTTTATATATTAATAAGTAATTAATCATATTAAATTGAAATATAAACGTATAATACGGTAGAAACTTAGAAATTATTTAGTGTTAATATGCATAATTCACTATTGATCATTTGATTTAAATAATTGTTTCTCAAGCATTCAGTGTTATAGTTTGATCGAAAATTATATATTCTTAAGTAATTGATCACATTTTATTAAAATATAAATGTTTAATAGGGTAGAAATTGTGAAATTATTTAGCTTTAGCATGTATAGTCGGCCAGATACAATTGCAGAAAACTGCAACTACTCGTGAAAACTTACAATAAAAGCAATGTAGATGAAAGTACTAAATATTATTATTAAAATTAGATCCATATATAAAACATTTTACATCATTTATTTGAAGTAAGTCGGAATATATTTTTACACATAAGATAGTTTCCATTTAACTCATAAAGTACATATTTCACTACAAATATTTTTAAGATCACTTCGAATTGCAAAAATAGCGCTAATTAGTTGTATTGAAGTATAAAACATTTTATTACGTCCATGTTTACTTATAAAGCGCATAACAATATTTCTCTCGCCATTTATCCGATGTTAAAAGTTTTCACCACATTATTTTGCTGCACAGCACCCTGAATGTGGCAAAACAGTTGCTGGCAACCCTCAAGTCCTTTATGGGGACCAAATTAACAGCCACAACAACAAAAACCTTTTCTACTGATATACTGTGTTGTTGAGGTGATTCCACCTCGCCATCTTCCAGGCAACTGCGATATACGGGGTCCGGAAGTATGTTCAGCCTTACTGCGTTAAAACTCCCACAAGAAGTGAGAGCTGTGGCTTTGTGAGTGTGAAGAGTGCCTTCGGCCAGAAGGACCTTGCGATCACGCATGTCGTGGTTTTCGCCCAGCGCTCGCTGAGCTGACATGAGGCCCATCTATCCAAGCGTGTACCACAAGCGATCAATGGCCCCCAGCCGCTCTTTATTCGGCTATATTGTTTCACGAGGACCTTCGCTGGCCAATTCGTCTGCCACACAGTTCCCAAATAAGCCTGATATAGAAGTATTCCGACGCGACCGAAAGAGAGAGCAGACATTCCTTAACCAAGTTAGAGCGCCCCTCCAACAAACAAAAGGCTCTTATAGCCACTTCCCTCCCCTGACTGTTATAACACTCCGGAGTAGTGAATCCACGCCTCCTTGAAAGCAGCCACTTCCGACTGGAATGCACTGCAGAAGTCTGGGAACCTGAACTTAGTGCTGATGGTTTGCTCTCGACAGAAGATCCCACCACCAACCCTGCCGTCCAGTTTTGATCTATCCGTGAAGAAGTTCACCGCGGCGGGGGATTTTATATTTTCTAGTGAATAAAACCAGTTCTGTCTTATTGGGATTGATTGCGAGGCCTCTTTTGGCAGCCCATTTAGAAACTATGTTAAGGTACGGTTGGGTCAGTTAACACATCGAGTTCAGGTAACTTTTAACTATGAGTGTAACATCGTCTGCATAGGCAATTACCCGACAGCCATGTTTCTGCAACTCAAGGTGGAACAAAAGATTGGAGGTACATACATATGTACATACCTACAAATGTACCCTCAAAATTATCTAATCTTCATTTTATTGATAAACATGCCCAAAACTGACAAATTTGGCCAAAAAAATTTCAGCGTATTTCATATATTTTGATATATTTTAGAGAAAAATATGGTACAAAATACATAGTGGAGATTAATAGTAAATTTACTAAAGATAAACTGAACAAATCGTGCGATTAATAACTTTACTCGCTATTACATTTTATGCACAGCAAATATTTAACAAAGCCCATATTTGTTTATCTATTCACGGAAATAAATTTGTGAGGAGGTATTTCCCAAAAGATAGTTGAAGGTTCCCCTCAAAATGAAATGCTATTTTGCTCTCTTAATTTTCTTTACTTTATAAGTTTTTTATGTACGAGAACGCAAGTACTGTGATAGTTTTCAACAATTTGAGTGAGCCAATGAAAATGCGATAAGTAGTACATACGTATGTATGTATGTAAATATAAATCGACTTAGTCCATCGCTGTCCAAACAATACATATCTTCGTTTAAAGTACAAAACCGCGTATCAACAAAATGCAAAACCGCTTATCAAGATAATGCAAGACGTCGTATGTGAGGTTGCATAAATTATTTTCTACAGCGTAAAAACACTCATATTTCAAAATGGTTCTCTTTTTTATAAAGCAATCGCATTTCTGGCTAGTATATTTCAGAACGAATGGATAAAGAGTAAGCCAAGAGCTTGTGCGAGTAAATACAATTTTTGGCAGCAAATTAAACGACAATATGTATTTATGTATGTACATACGTGTGGACCGCTCTTAAATTAGCCTTGGTTCTTTACAGATGATTATCACAAATTACCACTAGTTGCTGCTGGAAAGCATTTCTTAGCCCAAAAATCTAGGAGAAACTAGCAGCTTTCTCTCGTTCTTATGCTCTCCTTTTTTTGCTTCTCCTGCTAATAGCTGTCAAAATGAATAAACAGCTGTTGAAACGTATAAAAGCGAGGTTAAGTAAAGTTGCTTTTATTTGTTTCTTTCTCCATTTTTTTTGTTATTTTTTAAAATAGAACTTAGCGAATCATTAAATATTGATGAAATATTACAATATGTATATATATATATATATAATGAATAGTTTTAAGATACAAAAGGCGATTAAAAAAATTGCTCCAAATATTTTGAATTGTCAAATACACCGATCAGCTATTTACTTACTAGTTTCTGCTAGCTAGCTAGCTAGCTCCATGAGCGTAATTCTCTCAATCTACCCGTTCTCCTTCTTTCTGGTAATTATTTTTTAGAAAGGTAAAGACACAAAGCTAATATTTTATTAGGTTTTTGGTAGGCAGGGTTAGGCTGTAACTGCCATCAGGCAATGAAAACTCGCTCGTGGTTAAGCGGCAGCCAGTAAAATAATAGCCGTCATCGATTCGCTACGTCTCGCTCGCTATGTTTGAACTCCGGTCGCTTAAAGAAGAATTTTGCACCTGAAAGCAACAACAAAGTTAGCAAGCACGGATAGACGATAGCGAGTTTGGTTGTACCTCATTGAGTTCGTTCGTTTCGCCACTCGCTAACTGATGGCGAATCGATGACGGCTAATATAACACTCGTCTATTCTAGTATTTGGTCAAGTCTTTATAAATAGCTTCTAGCGGAATCAAGCTGAACCAAGCAGGGCGAATAGATTTGTATTTTCAGCTTAGTTATGACCTGGTTCCGACATGCATACTTTTGGTAATGCTTATTAAGTAAAGTGACAGTTTGACTGGTTTTGGCTATTTTTTTTGTTTATTTAATGTTTATATTTTTTTATAAATATTGAGGACTTTACCTAATCAGCGCCATAATCAAAATTTCATAATTTTTGTACGAAGTTTGAAATGTGGATTCATATTGCGCTGGTTAGGTAAAGTGCTAGACTTTTACAAAAAAAAATTTACACTGAGAAAAAAACGCGTTGTAAAAATTAAATTTTTTTATTTGATTACCGTTTAAAAATGTTCGTATTTAAATCAAGTGAAAAGTAATAAAAAATGGATTTTTCCATTATACATACACTACGTATAATGGAAATATTCATT